GTGAGCTCCTCCCAACCCCATAGTAACGGTGTTCCCCAGGGTCTCTCCTTAGCCCTCTTCTCTCTTCATACTCTCTCCCTTGGTGACCTCATTCACTTCTTAGGATTCCAAGCCCATCTCTGGGCAGATGATTTTCCGATCAACTCATCGACAAGCATTTATTTTTCATTAAATTTTTCCAACTAATAAGTATATTTTTCTTTCCCCTACCCACTCTTCCCCCCCAAAAAAGAGAACTAAAACTTTTGTAACAAATAAACATAGTTAAGCCCCCCCAAAAAATCCCTTATTGGCCATGTCCAAAACTCTATGTGTCACTGCATCTGGAGGCCATCTCTGTCAGGGAGTGGGGAGCAGTCCTCATCATGAGTCCTTTGGAATCATGGTGGATCTTCATGTTGCTCTGGGATCTTCAGTCTTTCAAAGCTGATTGTCTTTACAACACTGATGTTACTGTGACAATTGTTCTACTGGCTTTGCTCATTTCAGTCTGCCTCAGTTTACACAAATTTTTCCAAGCTTCTCTGAAACCATAATTTTCATCATTTCTTACGGTGCAATAATCTTCTGTTACTTTCATATACCACACATTGTCTAGCCATTCCCCAACTGATGGGCATCCCATTAGTTTCCAGTTCTTTTCTCTAACAAGAGCTACTAGATTTTTGTACATAAGGGTCATTTTCCTCTTTCTTTGGTTTCTGTGGAGTATAAACCTAGTAGTGCTATCACTGGGTCAAAGGATACACACAGTTTCATAACCTTTGAGGTTCTAAACTGCTCTCCAGAAAGGCTGGATCAATTCGCAGTTCTGCCAGCCGGGCACCAATATGCCTGTTTTCCTGAAGCCCTGCCAACATCTGTCATTTTCCCTTTCCTGTCAGCTTTGCCAATCTGATGGATATAAGGTGAAACCTCAGAGAAGCTTTAGTTTGCTTTTCTTGAATTATTAGTGATTTGGAGTATTTTTTCATATGCCTATAGATAGCTTCAATGAGTATTGGTTAAGCACCTACCACATACCAGGCACTGGGCTTAGGTACTGGAAACACAAAGAGAAAAATGAAACAATCCCCTCCTTCAGCTCACCTGACCATGCCTGGCCTCCCTTTTCAGCTCCTGACCCACATTTCCATCTGTCTGCAGGACACCGCCCCTTGGTTATTCCAGCAGCACCTCAAAATTCTCATGTCTAAAACTGTGTACACACACACACACACACACACACACGTGCACGCACAAATGAATTCTGTCCTTCTCTCTTCATTATTTTCACCTGGGGCACTTCCACATTTGTGACATTGGGGTTGTCATTCACTTTGCCCTCTCCCCTCATATTTAGCCGGTTGCCGAGTCCTAGCAACACAGATTTAGAACTGAAACAGACAACAGAAATTCAACCCCCTCATTTTCCATGTGAGGAAACTGAGGCCCACAGAAGTTTCAAGTTGCCATCGGCCTTGGTGAAATGAATTCTCACACTTGCAAGATTTAATTTCTGAACGTACTTATGTGCTTTCTAACCAAAAAGCGGTTTAGCAGGAATACTCCTTCACCACATGACAGGTGCCCCTGGGTTCAGTGTGACTGTTGAACGTTACTCATTCGAATAGAATCTCCTTGTGAGCAGGAACCGTCCTTCCTCTTGCTTTTATTTGTATTTCCAGGACGTAGCGCAGTATTCAGGACACAGTAAGCACTTCATAAATGCTTGTTGACTTAACACGACTTTATGCAGTGCCCTTTTGCGGCCTGGCTCCAAACCGGTTTTCCAGCCTCCTCATGCATTCCTCCCTTCTGTCCATGAAAATCAAACTCCTGCCTGCTCCTCTCATGCAACGTTGCATTTCCCATCTCTGTGTTTTTGTGCAAGTGCATTTCCTCCTCCCCTCTGGCCATTCGAGTCCCCGACTCTCTTCCAGGCTCAGCCTACCCCCCACCCCTTGCAGGAGGGCTGATGCTGATGCCCTGAGATGCTCCCTTCGGAGCACAGAGGCTAAAGTGCGGCGGATGGAGGTGCAGGGGCTAGGGTTTGGGCTCCAGGGCCTCTGAGCCCCCCTTCCCAGATCTAGCTCCCGAGAGTTCTTAAGAACAATCCCCTTCCAGCATCCTCAGAAGGATGTACGAGAGCCCGGCTCCCAGCTGCTCTTTACTAGGCAGCATTTTCTTACGGGAATTTTCAAAGTCTGCTCTTACTCACCCCACTTCCTTCCCCCTGTGCCTCTGCCCCTGTGGCTTTCTTCCTCTGACTCCCCTTCTTTCCTTTCATCTCAGAATCAGAGAACCACAGGATATTAGAGCTGGGAGGGGATCTGAGGTCATCAAGTCTGACTCCCTCATTTTTGTGGATGAGGAAACTGAGGCAGAGGGTAAGGGGGATGTCACCCAAGGTCACCTGGGGCAATGCCAGGATTTAAAACCAGCAGTAGCTGTTGGTTTTTTTTTTTTAATAGCTGATGTTCTCGAGCACATTAAAATGGACAAAGCACTTGTTCGTCCATTATCTCATTTGCTGTTCACACAGCCTGTGAGGTCAGTGCTGTGATTATTACCATTTTACACATTGACAAACTGAGTCTCAGAGAGGCAGTCTTGCCACCATCCTAGGAAAAAGCAAAATGATACAAGCCCCCTTATTTCCTGGGATAACAATGAATAAGTATAAGGCAACTGTATTACACATTTAGAGCTCCTGGAAGGGATTTCAGAAGCCATGTTTATAGGTTCTTGGAGTCAAAAGATCTGGGTTCAAATCTTGCCTCTGACACTTGCTCCCCATGTGACCTTGGGCAAGGAACCTCCCTCCCAGGTGTCCATTTCCTTATCTATAAAATGAGGGCTTGGGCAAGATGGCCTCAAAGGCCCCTTCCAGCTCGGGAACTGAGACTCTGATCTGGGTTCCATCCCAGCTTTGCCTCTTCCTACCTGCGTTAACTTGGCCAAGTAACCTGCCATTGCTATGAGCCTGTTTCGTGATGGCCTGGGCTGGACGCCCGATGACATCCCTTCCAGCCCTAAGGCTGTGGACCCGTGTTGGCCAAAGCCTCTGCAGAACTCAAGAAGACCCAAAGATAACCGTCGTAACTGGGGACCATGTAATGCCCTGAGGTGTGCGAAGGGCTCCCTTCACATCTCATCTGCTTCCCACAACCACCCTGGGAGGTGGGTGCTGTTACTAGCCTCATCTTGCAGGTGAGGAAACTGAGGTTCAGAGACACGTGCCCGGGGTCACATAGCCAGGAAGCGACCAAGCAGTCACTTGATTTTTAGCTGGAATGGACTTTGCATGCCATGAGTCCACCTTCTTCATTTTCCAAACAAAGAGTGAGGTACATAGAGCATTTGGTGACTTGCTCAGGGTCACACTGCCAATCAGTCTCTCAAACAGGATTTGAACACATGTCTTTCTGCCTCCAAGCCCAGTGACCTATCCGCTTCCCCATAGTGCCTCTAAGACACAATAGCGCCGTGATGATTCGTTGCACTGCTTGCTGCTGGCTCCAGAAACCTGGAAGGCAGGAGAGCTGAGTGAAACGGTCACTTGCTGGACCTCGCGCACTGTCCCATCTACCTCCATACCTTTGCCTAGACTGGTCTCCCATACCTGGAAGGCACTCCTTCCTTACTTTTGCTTCTTGGTCTCCTGTTGTGAGCCTTGGCTCACCTCCTCCAGGAAGCTTTCTCTGACTCCTCTGCCCAGTTCTTCATGACCCCTTTGCGGTGTTCCCTTGTCTGTGTACTTGGTGTGGCCCATCTGTACACCCTCCCCCCCGGTAGAGTGGAAGATCCCTGAGGGCAGGGGATATTTCACATTTCTCTCTCTAATCCCAGCACCTAGCACCATGCCTAGCATGGAGGAAGTGCCGCATTGATGTGTGTCCTGTAAATCAGTGTCGAAGATGCCTGATTTCTGTGTCCTTAGACACTGGGGCCACTCAGTTTTCCTTCCTCTTTTCTCTGCACCTCCTAGGGTTAACAAGTCAGTACTTAGCCCAGGGCCTAGCCCTTAGCACCGAGCCTGGCCCATAATAAATGTTGGCGACTTGACCAGCCACGCGGACTGGACCCTGTGACTTCACTGGGATAGGGAACTCTCATATGAGGAAAGTCCCTCCACCAGTGCAGGGGTACCTTCTCTGCAATTTGTATCTTAATTGCCCAAGGGCCTCTTTTTCACCGCTGATCCTCCATTCCATGGCTGCCTGGCTTGGGGAAAGAACACTAAATTTGGAAGAAGGGGATCCGGGTTCAACACCCCCGAACCAGCCTCAGCCTGGAAGAGTATGAATCCCCGTCTTCTGGTTCTGAGGCAAGTTCTCTATTCACGAGGCCATGCCGCCTCTCAAATGCCTAGTAAACACTAACTGACTTGCCCCGGGTGCCCCTGCTGAGACCCCAAGGAAGAAGCAGAGGGCCTCCTGGGACTCAGAGCATTCTTTATGCTTTGGGATTTTTATGAAAATAATTGTTGCTCCCATTTCAATGAAGCTTATGAAACCCTCTCCCCACAGAGGTCTCTGAGGAGGCAGGTGATCTTCCTCTTAGTGTCCTATTTTACAGATAGGGAGACTGAGGCTCAGAGCATGAAGGTGACTTGAGCAGCATTCAAACCCATGTTTCCTCACTTCCAGGGCAGCCCTCTTTCCTCTAGGCTCCACTGCCACCCCCACCTCCCACCCCCACCCCAAGACCTGCCCCAGCCAGCCAGCAAGCTAGAAGTGAAACCAGCCCTTTGGACAAATTTGTCAACCACAGCTTCGGTCTGACTTTGCAGGTTGGAGGGGGTGGGAGGGAAGTCTTTCCCCCTGGTTGCCAAATGGCTGTGAGTGGGTGTTGGGGAGTGCGAAAGGTGGGCCCAGTGGCCAGTGGAGGCCCCTGCCAGCCTAGTCTCAGGCTTTTCCTGCCACTTTAGTGTGGGAGGGCAGTCCTGTCCCAGGGCAAGGCGCTTAGATTGACCCATCTTTTAAAGTGACTCTTTTTGGGCTGGGGTGTGTCCTCAGGCATCTGAAGGGGTCCCCGTCAGATTCTTCACCAGTCTGGACCAGCTCATAGAGTTCTACAAGAAGGAGAACATGGGCCTGGTGACCCATCTGCAGTATCCTGTCCCGCTAGAAGAAGAAGACGCTGGAGACGAGCTGGAGGAGGAAACAGGTAAGAGAGGGGGAGGTGATCCCCAAAGGAGGCTCTCTGTCTGTGGCTGCAAGTAGGATGCTGCCGAGGTCAGACCTGAACCCCAGAATCTCCCAATCAGAAGGGATCTCAGAGGCCAGCCCCTTTACTTTACGGCTGAGGAAACTGAGGTTCAGACTAGCTAAGCAATTTAAGATCAGAGATCCAGAAGGGGCCTCAGAGGTCATCTAATAGTCCAATTCCCTCATTTTATAGAGAAAGAAACTGAGGCCCAGGGAAATTGAATGTCTTGTGCAAAGTCACCCAGATAGTAAGTGACCAGGTTGGATGTGAACCCAAGTCCTCTGCTTCTAGAGATGTCCACCGATCAGGGCTGCTCACTGGAGCTCCTGGTTGTGTGTGCTCTGGGGCCAGGCAGGACACGTCTAGAAGCCCACCATAGTCATCGTCTCCTCTTCTCCAGACTCAACCGACCCCTGGAGGGCAGGAGGGGAGGCCCTTCCCAGAGGCCCCTGGGGCCAAGTGGAGAGGGGGCTGGCCTGGGAGTCAGGTCCCACCTCTGCGTGACCCTCAGCAACAGGTCACTTCACTTTCTAGGACTCAGTTTCCTTAGCTGTAACATGAGAGTTTGGATTCAATGAGCTCTAATGCCCCGTCAGCTCAAAATCTAGGCTGCCATGACCCTCCAACCATCTTGATTCCCACCCCACCCCCAACATCCTCCACTCTATCAATATCTTTCCTAAATTGTGGTACCCAGAACTGAAAAGAATGTGTCCCACTGCAGAGTGCAGGAGGGCTATCATCTTACTCTCTGAACCTCTGCCTCGCTTAACAGAGAGGTGGCTCAGTGGTTAGAGCACCAGGCCTGGAATCAGGAAGACTTGCGTTCAAGTCCAGCCTCAGACGCTTACTAGATGTGTGACCCTGGGCAAGTCACTTCGCCTCAACCTACCTCAGTTTCCTCAACTATAAAATGGGAATAATAGCACCTTCCTCTCAGGGTTGTTATGAGGATCAAATGAGATAATATTTGTAGTGTTTTGCCAGCCTTAAAGTGCTGTATCAAGGCTAGTTGTTATCATCATTATTATAGGCTAAGATTACACTAGCTTTCTTGACTGCTACATTACACTGTTGACCTGGAAGTCTACTAAGACCCCCAGATCCTTTCCAGACAAACTGCTGTCTAGCCCTGCCTCCCCCATCTCATGCTTGTGAAGATGGCTTTTTGAATCCAACTAAGAGGTTTCATGTGTCCCCCTATTAAATTCCACCTTATTGCATTGAGCCTGTTAGGGTATGTTTGAATCCCAGCTGTCCTCCAGGTTGGTGGCCGTCCCTCCTCCGCTGTGGTGGCCGTCCCTCTCAGTTTGATGCCCTCTGCAAGCCTGATGAGCATGCCCTCCAGGCCTTTATCGGAGTCATTTACAATCATGTCAGCCAACGAGGGGCCAAGCAGAGATCCCTGGGGCACTCCCTCAGTGTGCCAGACCACTTGCCAAGCAGACATCGATCCTGACTGTTCTTTGAGTTCAGCCATTTACCCAGCTCCTAAACCATATACTTGTACTATCAAATACACCGCAGCTCCCCAGGTTTTCCATAAGAAGAGCATAAGAGACTTCCTCAAATGCTTCACTAAGATCTAGGTAACTCATCCCTATAGCATGTTCCATTTGCCTTCCAGTCTCTTTTATCTTTTGAACATTGGGGCATTTACCCAACTTGGACTCTCCAGGAGCTCGCTGGCCGTGGCCCAGCACTCACATCTGCCTTTTCTTTTCTTAGCTGAGGATGCAGATCCTCTGGGCCTGGTGATGTTCCCTGGGTCCTACTGCCCTCTTCTCTTTACCTCCTTTTCCTCTTCCACATTTTCTCTAGGGATGAGAACATCTGGCCCTGGTTCACATTCTTTCTGATCTGAGCTTTCCTCTGGCTTCGGAGGTCCATGGTTAGAACTGAAAAGGGATTGTAGACATCATTTAGTTCAGCCCCTCAGTTTACAGGTGAGGAAACTGAGGTGTAAAGAAATGGCATGGCTGACCCAAGATGGCCCAGCCAGGACTCAAAGCAGGTCTCCTGACTCCTGGGCAGCTTTCTTCCACACCACCCGGATCCTGAGCCCTCTTTGGAGGGTCCCAGGAGCCTGGCAGCCTCACCTCCTGCCTGGTGATCTCCGTTAAGCTGCCTCCACTGAGGGCAGTGAGTCATTCTAAACTGCCGGCCACAACCTCCAGTTCTGGTCACGTCCAGCCCATCGGCTGATGACCAGATACAGACCTGCCTCCCCCTCCATGATGCTTTCCAACAAGACCAGGAAAGTGACTTCATCTTGTGGCCGGTGTCTCCACTCAGAAAGAGAAGTGTGCCCAAATTACATTAAGGTGCTACTGCTGAGGGCTGAATGTCTGTGGTTTCTGCCTATACCGGTAGAACGTGTGTCATGTTCTATTCAGAGCTTCTTCAGAGACTGCCCATCCATCTGTCTCTCAGGCTCGTTGAGTTATGGTGCTCCTTGGAACTCTAGACCAGGAGAGACAAACTCACCCCACTCCTTTAGACAGCAACCTAACCAAAAACTTACCTTGAGAGCCATGGCTGGGTCCCGTGGCATAGGGGACTGGCTCTCCTTCCAAACCACTTTATCACATGGGAATTACACCAGCCACGCTGTGGGGGGCCTCTCTCAGGGCACAAGAATCTGGGTGTCTGGGAGCTGGTTGGGGAAGGGAAGTCCTGTTCCCTTGAGATGGTGAGTGGTGGTGGTTTCTACACATTCATGCTTCGGGGAGGATGGAAAATGTCCAGAGAGATCTGAGTTAATTCCCCCTTTTCAGTTTGAGTCATGGGTTTCCTCTAAGTGGGGGTAGAGCACCCCATTTTAATTTCCAAGTCAGGGGTCGTCCATTCTCCTCTGAGGGCTGTGAGCAAGGCCACGGGCACCACTGGAAGCAGAGGGAGGAGAGAGCAGATGAAAAATGGGAGAAGAGGACGAGGCGAGCAGTGATCCAGCCAGCATTTCTCAAGGGCCTGTTCTGTGCCAGGCCGTGAGGGTACAAAGCCAAAAAGGGCCCTGGCCTGTCGTCTAGTATCTTCTATCCTAATGTGGGGGGAGCTCCAGGATGAGAGACAGCTAACACTGCAGGCAGCTTTTCTAAAGGCACGTAGAATGTGCCGAGCTGAGCCTTCATCCTCAGCCAAAACAACCTTCTGCCTTCTTCCCTGGAACAGAATTCTTCATCTCACCGCCCGAGCTGCCGCCCAGGAACCTTCCCCCAGCATCGGGCTCAAGTGAGGCCAAGGAAGTTGCCCTTCCCGCAGATAATTCCCGAGTCATGGAACACAGCGCGTTATCTCTGTCTGAGACGCTGCTTCAGCGCCTGCAGGGCCTGGACACCAGTGGGTGAGTTCTCGTCCCTGGCGGGGGGTGAGGGGTGCAGCGGTTGTTCTCAGAAAACCAGCCTCAGCAAGCCCAGAGGGAGCAGGTATTGGAGGACGATACGTCCGTGCTCTCACAGTCCCTCTCCCTTCAAAGCTGGCCCAGAACGCAGACCAGAAATCATTAATTCATGTACGCAGTCATTCAACAAATGCTCATGTATTCACTCAAGGAATGTCTGCTGACCACCTGTGATGGGCAAGGCATCGTGGGAAAGGCTGTGAGGGTTATGGAAAAAAGCATCTTAATGGCCTCTGCCCTCAAGGCACTAAATGTTAACCCTGTTCCCTGTTTGGGCCTGGGGCAGGGGGAGGTGAGGAGCTGGCTAGCTGAGGCTTCTTCTAAGACAGGGTCTGAAAGGTCAGGGGTGGAGGCTCATTCACTAGACCTGAGGAACAGATGCAGAAGGCCGGAAAGTGTGAGGAGCCACAGGTCAGAACCACTCGTGACCCACCCAGTGTCTTGGGGGAACCAAAAGAGGCCGGCTTGGCCTGACCCAGAGTGTGAGAGAGGCTGCCAATAAACAAACGGGAAACAGTCATAGTAAAAGCAACGATAATAATGATAACTCACGGTGCTTTCAGGCCTGCAAAGTGCTTTTTTCCCAACAACCCTGCAAGGCGGGTTTGGTGATACCTGGGAAAGAGTCCTGACCTTAGAGTCAGTGCCTGGATTCAGATCCTGCCTCTGACTCTTATTACCTGTGTGACCTTGGGCAAGTCACTCAGTCTTCAGAGGTCTCAGTTTCCTCACGTGTAAAACGAGAGGGCTGGACAGGTGGCCTCTTAGATCCCCTAATCCTGTGACTGAGGCTGCATTCACCAGGACAAGAACAGAGATGACAACATCCAGGACCTCTGGATGAGAATTCGTCAGCTGGAACATCAGGGCCTTTTGAATTGGTCTGTGGGGCTCACCCCACATGTTTCCTCATCCTCCATGGGGGCGCAGCTCTGTTACAGACACCCGCGGATGCTCTGCACGGCACACCAACCCAAGACAACACCTGGGACATCACCAGAAAGTATTCATAGGCTGAGGCCAAGCCACTGTAGGAAGAAGTGTTCTGGGTTTGGGGGGAGGAGGTCACATTTTGCCCGGCAGCTTCGGCCCCATAAGCCAAACCACCATTTGTGGGGCTAAAGTCAGGGGTCGTAGATTTTGAAATGGAAAGGACTCAGAGGCCACGGAATCCAACCCCTTCAGTTTCATGTTCAGATGAGGGAAACTGAGGCACAGAGTGACTTATCCCAGATCACACAGCTGGGGAGTGTCTTCTGACTCCAATCCAGTACCCATCTGCTGTGTGCTTCTGCAACTCAATGTCCAGGTCTCATGGTGCATAGCCATGAATCGTGGCTTCTGAATTAATGACAAAGTCAGCCACCTTAGGGGCCCAGAAAACAGCTTTCTTTATGGTTTATCTTATCTTCCCTGCATACTTCTCAGAATACTTTTACTTCATGGAATAAAAATACCAGTTTTATAGAAATGAGATTTCGTGTTAGGAATCATTCCATCAATCAAGCGGCCTTCCCTAGCCTTGGGTTGGTGGTGACAGTCTGGTTGCTGAGGCCCAGGGACAGGGTGGCAGTTGACTGGCTTCAGCCCCTCCTAGCCCTTCCCTGACCAAGGAGCAGCCAGTGGCCTGGGGTGGGGACCTTGTGTAGGGTCCCATTCGTCACTGTGAGGGATGGAGTCAGGGGAAGGATGCACTATGCCACAGATGAAGTCTCTTTCCTCACCACCACATCCCACACAAAGAAGCTACTGGGGCCCAGGGACTTCTGTCGTCTCAGAGGCCCTATGGGGAGGAGCTGTGCACCACAGGATACATCTGTCATTTGGTACACAGCAAAGTGTTCAGGAAACACTTTTTAGTCACTAGCGGGACCCCAGGGTTACACCAACGCCACTAGACTTCTGCACTGACCACTCCCATCACCCCTTTCCCGTCCTCAGAGATCAGAGATCCTTGGACCCCGGCTGTCACTCCTCTATGTCTCTTGGATTTACTTTTCCTATTGGAGTGAAAATGGGCCATTTTCAGAATTGCCAGCTCCTGGGTCTCCCTTTATATGCCCCATCAGTGGCCATCACATGCTACCCTCCTATGCTATGTTGATTCGCTGCTCTCTATCCATCCAGGCAGCTAGGTGGTGCAGTCTTGGAGTCAGGAAAACCCGAGTTCAAATCCTGCCTCAACTACTCACTAGATGTGTGACCCTGGGCAAGTCATTCAGACTCCCTCAGCCTCAGTTTCTTCATCTGAAAAAATGGGGACAATAATAGCATCTACCTCCCAGGGTTGTTACGAGGAATAAATGAGATAACGTATGTAAAGAACTTTGCAAACCTTAAAGTACTTGATAAATGCTAGCTCTTGCTATTATCATGACATATCCATGTAACTCTTCAACTGCCCATCTGTCCCACTGACCATACAACCGGTCTTTCATCCAGCCACCACGCTGCCCGCCAGCCTGTGTTTGCAGAGCACCTGCTGGGCTTCAAGACTTCTGTGGAGCACCCAAAGGGGAAAGGAGACATGCCTTCCGCTTTTGGTGATCTTGTAGACCAATAGCAGGTGCGGCAAGAAGTCATGAATAAGCCATCAAAAAACAGCACAGCCTTAAGTTCAAAATAATGCAATTTAAAACGCCCTAAGGCTGCTGAGGAAAAATGTGACCGTTCAAGTGAGGTTAACATTGAAGACTATTAACCACTCAGCGATCACCTCTCTGAATTACTTTTTTCCCCTCTACACAGACATAAAATTGTTTTTCCCATCATTTCACGATAACACAGTTATTGCATGATAACCACACCAAAAGCCCGCTGTCACATCATCTGACTAATGACCCATGTAAGTCAGCCAACAAGTATATATTAAGGTCCCTACTATGCGCCAGGCACTGCACTAAATTCTGGGGATACAAGGAAAGGTGTGGTGTTATGGACCTGAGAGGCAGAGCTGTGGATCTGGTGATTACAGGCTTGAGCAGGGCCAGTGGTTTGTACGGGGCAATGCTTTTCTGTGGCCAGACTCATACAGGTAGACTCTTCTGGGGAGAAACGGAGGCTGACTATAGCGTTTGTCCAGCAAGGATGATCGGGAAGACAATTCCAGAGACCTGGAGCCTCCCAGTCAGATGTGGAATGATCGGGAATGCTGTCGAAGCCAATAGCCCGAGTTTGTTAGATCAGGGTCCTGTGGTCTTCAGGGAATGTTCAGGTATAGGTAGCATCCTCTTCCCAATACCCTCTCCCCCAGCCTATGTTCTGCTAACCATCTGGGCTGGTGATGCAACTCAGACAGGCAGATAGGCTGCTATACTCCCCTCATGCAATGGCCACACCTGCTCCTTCCCAATCCCTGTGGTTCAGCTGGATTCCCTTCCCCACTGTTGGGATAATTAAATCAAGTCAAGAGCATTTATTAATCGCCTACTGTTTGCTAGACAAAGTGCCAAGGTCTGGGGTTACAAAGAAAGCCCCAAACCATCATTTCGTCTCTTTTGACCCCCACTTTGTCACAAGTTCTCCCTCCCAGACCAGTACAAAAGAGACCATTGCAAGGACTAAAGGCAATGTGTCAGTGAAGCGGTCATTCCTCTGTACTGCTATCCATCCAGCCAACCAACTGGTCACGTTTCTCTTGCCTGGGGATGTAAACTAATGACTATTCTTTATTGTTGGTATTAAGGGCTGGTAGCAGTGGGGGGCCCATGAGTTAATCCATGCTGTTATCATCCTTTAGGCTTCCTGAAGAGCACTTGAAAGCCATCCAAGATTATGTGAACACACAGATGGCCCTGGATGCTGAATTTGTGAAGACAGGATCCAGTAATCTCCCCCATCTCAAGAAACTTGTCATGGTCCTCTGCAAAGAGCTCTACAGGTAGGCCCAGAAAGGGGGAGATTAAAATGCTGATGATCCTTCCATCAGTGAGGGACAACCTCTTGTAATCTAATCTCATACTGCTATTATCGTACCTCCAGAACTAGCGTCACTGCTGCTGTCATTATTGTGACTGGCACTGCCATCGCTATGGCTACCATTACTATTATTATCATCATTAACACAACAAGAACTATTAGTACTACTACCATTGCAGCTACTATTGGGATCAAATATACAGAGCTGAAAGGGACCTCAGGGTCCACGGCTACTATCATTCCTCCTATCACCACCACCTCCATTGCTGCAGCAACCGTTGCTACTGCCATCCTTATACCTGCTGCCATCATTACAATAATCAAGGCATGTTCTGGATAGCTTCTTGAAGAAGCATTACAATATTTATCATCCCTGCTACAGTCCTTACTACTTTTATCACTACCACTGCTCACACTAACTAGTACTATCACTACTGCAACTATTTACACCATGACTATTAGTAATACTAGTACTCCTCTTACTGCCATTACCACTCCCACTCCCACCATAAATATTGCTATCATTGCTGCCATCAGTACTGTTATCAATGCCATTGCGATACCTCATCCCATCATTACTACAAACATTACTACCACATCACAACTACGATTATGACTAACACTTTTATCTCTGGCACTACTATGATGAACAGTTATTACCAGTATCTATTACTACTGTTAATATTAATATCAATAGAATATCACTAGTAACCAGTTATAGAGACTTATTAGAGACAGTTCAAAGTATCTACGTTATTTTTTGAAATATGTTTTATTGATGCATCACAGTCATTTGAGGGGGGGAACTCCTTCCTCTATCAGATTGAACTCTCTCTTATGACAGAACCACAACTGAGCAAAAATATTTGATGCTATGACCACATTTGACAATAGATGTATCATCCTGTCCTGGTAATCTCCCTACCCCTCACCTGTCTGTCAAAAAAAAGGAGAATGTTTCCTTGTGTTTCCTTTGGGAGTTTTATTGATTTTTTTCAGTTGTTCAGTGTTCAGATTCCTTTTGTGATCTCTTCATTTACCTGGTAGTGGTTAAATACAGTGTTCTTTGGGTTCTGTTCACTTTATTCTCCATTCATACGAAGCTTTTCTGAATTCCTCTCATTTGCCATTTCTTATTGAACAACAATATTCCTTCCAATAGCCCACCAAAAGTTTTTTCAGCCGTTTCCCAGTTAATGGGTATCCACTTAGTTTCCAGTCTTAACTACCACAAAGATGCTGCTGTGAATATTTTAATGTATACTAGACCTCTCTTTCTTTCTTTGACTTCTTTAGAATATATGCCCAATGATGGGATCACTGGGTTAAAGGGTATGGATGGGCTCTAGGGGTGGGGAACCTGCAGCCTCAAGGTCACATGTGGCCCTCTAGGACCTCCAGTGTGGCCCTTTGAATCCAAACTTCACAGAATAAAACCCCTTAATAAAAAGATTTGTTCTCTAAAACTTGGCCTCAGTCAAAAGGCCACACCCAAGGTCACATGTGCCCTGAGGCTGCAGGTTCCCTACCCTTGGGCACTTTTCATCGATAATTCAAACTCAAAATCCAAAACAACTGAGCCAATTCACTGCTTTCCCCCAACAATACAGTTGAATGTTATCCATCTACCTCTTTCCCCAAAAACTTCTTCAACATTGACACTTTGTGACACTTTATTGACCCTCTATATTTGGTGGTCTTTGCTGATTGACATTGTTTGAAGTGAACTCTCAGAATTGTTTTGCCTTTCTCTCATTGTGGGGGTTATGGAGCATGTTTCCATGTGATCATTTACAGTTTGCAATTCTTGGAAAATTTTTTTATATCTGTTGACTGTTTCTCTTGGGGATACGTGTCTATGCACGTGTTCATTTGGGAGTCAGAGGTCCTTGGTTCAAGTCTCACTCTACTACACACTATTTCTATGACCTTTGGCAAATCACCTCATTCCTGGGCTTCAGTTTCTTCATGGGTAAAATGAGAGTTGGGCTAGGTTATCTCTAAGGCCCCTTCTAGCTTTTACATGGGCACACAACTAAGCTTAGAAGTACCAGAGGATTAGAAACAACTAGCATGGGAGTTAGGAAACCCTGGTGGTTAGACTTGTCTCTGTCACATCCTACCTGGGTGGTGCTGGTGAGTCACCCACCCTCTCTGGGCCTCAGGTTCCTGGCTATAAAATAAGAGTCATCATATTTTCACTACCACAGGGTGTTGTGAGGGTCATAAGTACGTAATCAAGTGAGGTAGTAGATAGGAAAGTGCTTTCACACTTTTCTTTGGGTTATCTTGTCTCTGCACTTACCGTTTGAACTCTCCTAAGTACCTTCCTCTTTCTGGGCTTCTTTCCTTATGTGCAAAATGAGGGTTTAGGCTAGAGGTTGTCTAAGTTCCTGCCTGCTCTATGCTGGCCATGATAATGTAACTATGAATATTTTAGTGTGTGCTAGACCAGGGGTGGGGAACCTGCAGCCTGAGGCCACATGTGGCTTCCTAGGTCCTCAAGTGCAGCTATTTGACTGAATCCAAAATTCACAAAACAAATCCACTTAATAAAAGGATTTGTTCTGTAAAACTTGGACTTAATCAAAAGGCCACACCCAAGGACCTAAAAGGCCACATGTGGCCTTGAGGCTGCAAGTTCCCAACCCCTGTGTTAGACCTTCCTCTCCTCGCTCTTACCCTTCCCATCCCTTCTCTCCCTCCCTCTCCCTCTTCCTCTCCTCTCCTCTAGAGTATACTCCCAGTGGTGGGCTCACCGGGTCAAAGAGTATGGGTGACTTAGATACTTTTCAAATAATTCAGATAATTCAAAATCTAAAGCTAGACTTTATGATTGGTATAATTCCTACCCCCCACCCCCACCCCCCAATAAGATTTTTTTTCCCCTTTGACCTTTGCCAGATTTTCTTTTACCTAATTCCTAGAGATGAGATGCCCATTTGCTTTGTCAAATAGTGTCCACTTGGTATAGGAATTTCTTAATTCCAGGCATGGCCCTTAAACCACCTTGAGAGCTTCTCCTGGACTGACCCACTCCCTTTAACTCCAGGTGCAGGGGAGATGTCTGTTAGGGGTTACAGATGATATCATTCCTGGGAAAGGATGCTGTCATAAAAGTTCTTTGTCATCATTATTGGCAACTGGCAGTTCACCTCTGCAGCATCACTTGTGGATCTCACCTCTACAACATCCCATGTTGATTTCACTTCTGCAGTATCTCATGTCCATTTCACCTCTGCAGCATCTCTTGTCCATTTCACCTCTGCAGCATCTCTTGTCCATTTCACCTCTGCAGCATCACTTGTGGATCTCACCTCTACAACATCCCATGTTGATTTCACTTCTGCAGTTTCTCTTGTCCATTTCACCTCTGCAGCATCTCTTGTCCATTTCACCTCTGCAGCATCTCTCCAATATGCCCCCTTCTCTCCTCTGACATTGTCCCTACCCTATGGACCTCTCACGCCTGGACTATGACGATAGCTGCTGGGGGGGGGGGGTCTGCCTACCTCAAGTCTCTCCCCTCCAGTCTACCCTCCATTCAGTCGCTAAAGTCATTTCGCTAAATCTCAGGTCTAGGATCATGTCACCCCCTACTCGATAAACCCCACCTGGTGACTCCAGGCATTTTCTCTGTCCCCCATGCTTGGAATATTCTCCCTCTTTATCTCTGTGAACTACCTCCCCTGGCTTCCCTTTAGTCCCAGCTAAAATCCCATCTTCTACTGGAAGCTTCCCCCAACCTCTCTTAATTCTAGTGCCTTCCCTTTTTAAAGTACTTCCTATTTTATCCCATGCATATAGCTTGTCTGTACATATTGGTTTGCTTGTTGTCTTTCTCTATTAGATTGTGAGCAACTTGAGGGCAGTGACTGTCTTTTTGCCTCTTTTTGCTTCTTTTTGTGTCCCACTACTTAGCACAGTGCCTGTCACATAATAGGTACTTAATGAATGTTTGTTGACTGACTATTTTACAACTGTGAAACACTCAACTTAGAGTATCCCAAAAATCTTAGTTCAGTTTTAAGCTTTAATATCTTAACACCCTGCATAGATAAGCTATTCCTGTTTTCAGTTATTTAGAAATGGTGCTTTTGTGAGCTCTCATGTAAAAAGGTCACAAATCTAGAGCTGGAGTGGACTGCTGAAACTAAGTCAACCCCTTCCTTGTATAGATGAGGAAACTACTTGGCCAAAGTCGCACAGTTAGTGAGTGGCAGACCTGGGCTTCCCCCTCAGGTCCTCTGACCCCAAACCAATGCTCTTGCCCCTATACCTTTTAGGTTCCCCCCCAAAAAAGCTACCTTTAATTTGAGTTGTTTTCTCAGTGTCCAAGCCTTTCCTTTCCCTAGACAGGGAGAGCTGAAATCTAAGCCTGCTACAGATAATTTCATTTATTACCAGAGTTATCATTAGCAAATTGGTATCTGGAGCAGCAGCCCACCTAAGGCTTGCTACACTGAAATCTCCCTCAGCTCATGTTTGTAGTTTGGAATATGAAAGTAATGCAAAAGATTATTGAGGCAAATTCAATTGGGCAGAAAAGAAAATTAGTTACTATAGTAACTGCACTGGGTGGCCTCTATATTTCAGCTCCCTGAGCCAGAGCTCTTTTTGCCCCACCCTAGTTACAGTTTTCTTTATTACTTACATCTCTCAGTAACTCACTCTAGGCAAAAGGCCCCAAAGTGATGATAACTTAAGGATCAGCTAGAGAACAGAAAGATTTTCCTGCATAGCAAAATTCAATCCTCACCCACCCCCAGGATGGATTTTACACCAAGTCCTTAAATTCAGTGACCACACACATGCACACAAAAGTAAGGACCTTGAAAGACGAACCCTCTCCATCTTCCTAAGATATCAACATAGGCATCAGGGGCAGCAGTGATATGGCTGGTCCAATTCAATTCAGCAGACACTTAAGAAACATTTATTATGCCACGCACTGTGCTAGGT